ATGCACCTCCAAGCGAATCAGTGTCCGAAGAGCTCAACACACCCCTCCCAACAGGAACATCATGTGCATCTGGGACTCCTCGCTCAGCAACAAATGCTGCGAGGTCAACACCACCATCGCTGCCAACAGAGCCTGGCGCACATGTCCATTGCGTAAATAACCGAGGCAACATATATTCGACGACGGATTTCAGATGTTACAAGGACGGTCTGAGGACACTTTCTTGTGTGAAATAAAGGCAGAAAAGCGTCTCACAGCCATGGACTGTTCAGTGAATGTCACCTTCCTCGCCGGTGGCAGGCGGTACTTGGACTTCACCTCACAATCAGACAAGTTGTTTTGTTAAAAATACCTAATCCCCATCGGAGGAAGTCTCCGTGTCACTCCCTGTTAGGAGGCCGGAGTCCATGACATTGAACTCCCACCCAACCTGTGAAAAAAAATGGTCTTCAAGGAGTCTTTCTTCCAAGCGTCTTAGCGACGGTTGAGTTATTCTATATTTTCTGCTAATAGACTTGTACCCCACCATGTGTTCCCCCCGGTGCAGCACCAAATCTATGATAGCCGCGCACTGACGTGTTTTATAAGCAGCCCGGCGATTCCTATCCACTTGTTTGCGTTCCTGCCTGCGACGCTTGTGCCATTCTCCCCAAGGCTGGGGGGGGTTCTGTCTCTCGTGTTCTTCCTTTCGCAACCGTGCCCCTTCTGCCCCCCCCAATGCATTATTAATGTATCCGCTTACGGCGGCTAATCGGGCCTGGTCCTTGGGGGCGAGGTGGTCCTGTATGGGCCGCCACACCCCCGAGGGCAGGCCACCCAACCCCGCTTCTTGTATTTCCTCTAATCTATCTGTTAGAGCTTCCTTATCGCGCTCAGCTTCCCGATCGCGCGCAGCTTCTATCCGCCGCCTGACTTTCACCCCTGCACGTCTCCTTCCCCCCTTCCTGTTGTGTCTGTGCCGCCGCTTTCGGCCATCCTTATAACGTTGGCGCCTGTTGAGGGGCCGCTTCCGACCTAACACAGGCACATAATACACTGATTCCCCAGCCAGGTGACGGCAGGTACTGCCACATACTGGTGGTACCACCAAAGCAAAGACAATAGGTATTGTAGGGAAATGCAACACGCCCTGTACAATGCACGGCCCCCTGAAAGGGACGAGGTTTCCCCAGCCAGGTGACGGCGGGTACTGCCAAATAATGGTGGTGGCACCTACGCAAAGAAAGATGATGGGTATTGCAGGGACAGTTCGTGCATGTTGTACATTGCACGGCTGCATGGAAGGAACGAATTACCAAGGTTTCCCCAGCCAGGTGACGGCGGGTACTGCCACAAAATGGTCATGCCACATAAGGAAAAACAGGCTATGGGTACTGCAGGGACATACAGCACACCCTGTACAATGCACAGCGAAGTAAAAGGAGCAAAATGGGAAGGCTTCCCCAGGCAGCTGATGCCAGGTACTACCACATATTGGTGGTGGCATCTAAGCAAAGAAAGGCGTTGGGTATTGCAGGACGTGCAACACACCCTGTACAATGCACGGCCACATAAAGGGAACAAATTGCTAAGGTTCCCAGCAGGGGACGACGGGTACTGCCACAAAATAGTGGTGACACGTAAGGAAAAAAAGGCGATGGGTATTGCAGCGACACATAATGCACCCTGTACAGTATGCAGCCAAATAAAAGTAACAAAGTGGTAAGATTTCCCCAGCCAGGTGGCGGCGGGTACTGCCAAATAATGCTGGTGGCATCTAAGCAAAGACGATGGGTATTGCAGCAACAAGTGGTGCACCCTGTGCAATGCATGGCCACATGGAAGGAACGAACTGCCAAGGTTTCCCTAGCCATGTGACGGCGGGTACTGCCACCAACCACAGCACACAGCCACAATAGGCGTCACTCAGGCTTGCTACACAGAGGTACACGTCCACCGCACCTACACGTCCATCGTGTTCAAGGCGCCCCTGCTTGCTTTCCGTTTCAGCATTGGTAGCGCCTGAGGACTCTGCGAATACAGTAACACAAGTGGTGAGGGTCGCAGGCAAAATCCCGGAGTGAAGTCAATCCCCGGCCATGATCTTCCCACCCGCCCATGTGCCACTAGGTTGGTGGCCATGTGCCACTCCCCACGGCCCAGAATTTCCCGCCACAGCAGGCGGTACTGAGGGCGTTGCCCTGGCCACAAAACAGGATAGCGCGCTATGCCTGTGCATCACCGGCGGATTGAATCTGGCCACACACAGGTTTTCAGCCAACAGATCATCCGACACCCCCCTTCCCCAGTGCGGCCCGGCATTTCCCGCCATGGCGGCGGTACTAATGGCGTCCCCTTGCCTTGCCCATGCTGCGGCTTGAAGCAGGAGAGCGCGGTATGCCTCACCTGCTGAGTCCATGAACCAAGCGTGGGGCGGCCGGGGGGTTGGACATGGTGGATGGCAACAGGAGGGCAACAAAATATGTGCGTAGTCACAACCAAGGTCCGCTGTATGTGGACCCTGGCTGAGCCACGCTGGCAATCAACCAGATCCGCAGATTCTAAAATCAGTACTTACTGCATGGGCTCTGCTGTCATCCGCTGATTCGGTACACACGTCCGCTGTCATCCGCTAGATTAGCGGATGGGGTACGTGGCTTCCGGTCCGTAAGAGAATATCCGTTAACACCCAAGCGGAATCCGCAGAGTCCGCTGATTGGGGCCAGCCGTCCGCTGCCATCCGTGCCACGTCAGCAACAGAGAGGGCGGGGTCCGCTAAATTAATGGATATTAGCGGACGTCAACCCCCGTCCGCTATTAACGGATCCGGGTGGCCACCTCTAGTATCTACAACTCATAAGTAAATTATATCATAGATCAGCTTCTATTAATAGGCCTTAGTAAATGACTAAAGGCCTTTCTTTACTCGACCCCCATTTGTGTCCACAACAACCTAAGTGCTAGATGCCAATTAACTCTGAAATTGACTAGGAGGTGGAGTGATTTTTCGTTGGACATCCTAGTGTTGCAATATGCTTGTGTTGGTGGAATCAAAGGGTGCTTGGACTACTGAGTTGGGGATCAGGCTGGTGAATCCTTGAACGATTCTATTGATTGTAAGAGTAAATTGCCAATGACATCTTGAAGTGTTCAAGAGTTGTGCTTGTCATGTGGTGGAGTCTTGTCTTGAATATCATTCGTTGGCCTCGGTCATATGCCTAGGACAACAATGATTGTCCTTGGGCACGGAAGGCATGTGCAACGTTTATTTCACAGTCTGACTAGGGCACACCCACAAAGCATGGGCTCACTACATCGAGCCCCATATGCTCCAGTAAGGGCCAGCGACCCTGGAATTTAATTGATCATTAATGTGAGGTGTAAACGTATACTTTGCACAAAAGTTATCAATAGACATAAAGAGATGCACTGTGACGTGGCTGCTTGGGGTTTAGGCTTATTTGACATTTCTGGAGTGTTGCTTATGTAATTAGCCAAATCGACCTTTTGGGAGTGTTATTTAGAGCTTCCTGGTTCCAACGAGCTTTTAAACGCCCGATTCCGTTAAGAAACGGCGAAGATATGGCCTCCTGAAGTCGTAGTACTTAGGGCCAGGGGGTCGAGTGTTAGATGCTTGGAATTAGAGAACATTAGGTCGATCGTAGGTGAACGGTGGATGGTGACGATGTGCCTGGACGTGCACCTGACTTGTCTTGTCTTGATGTGACAGCGATGGACCCGCGATCGGGTATCGCGCATGCGGATTTGTGCGCGCGCATGTTGTGAATCGTGAATCGTGTAACCATTCTGGCCCACACTCTGGCCTCCCGCGAGCCAGCGAACCACCGCCTCGCTGCGCCGCCACCTCTCGCCGACAGCAGGCCCCGGGGATCGATCCCCGTCGAGCATTGGGCCCACCGTGTGGCCACCGATTCGACTGCCCCGGATACGCCCACCGTCCGAGGTGGAGAGAGCCGGCTGACCTCCAACAACCGAGCCGCAGGGCAGGGCGACCCCCACGCCTCCAGAAACCAGCGGCTGCCGACGGGGCCGCAACATGCACCTATAATGGCTACAAAGAGATGGGTGGTGAGAAGAGGGGGTGTTTACAGTGATGTGCATATCACCGAAAAGACCACAAAAAAGACAAAGGGATTAATGCATTCTCCCACCATGTGGTTGGAGAATGCATTAGTCTCTTTATCTTTTCCATGAGGATCTCTTTTTCCACTGGCAGGGCGCCCGCCGGTCAGTGGGTCAATGGTCTTTTAGGGTGTAGGGTGTCCGAAACAAGAAGGGATCTTCACGGAAAAGATAGAGCGACTAATTTCGCGCTACATGGTGGCCCATATCGAAAGCCGGCCACCTAGCCAATTCCTTGGTTCATCGTTCAAAACTTTGACAAGGATGTCCCCAAAGTCATGTGTATACTATGTCTTAACCTTAGTTTTAAGGTTAGATTTAATTTTACGGTGAGTTTCAGGGTTAGGGTTATGTTTAGGGCAAGTTTAGTCTTGGGTTTAGGGTTTAGGTTTTAGGATAGGTAAGTTTTGGAGGGAATTGGTGCAAGCAGTCACCGATTTAGTGCGGAATTCACCGATTTGGTGCAGCCAGTAATTGTATGCCGTGTCAGAGCGATGCGTGCTCACCTGCGCACCTTCGTACCGCCACGTGTCAATCACCGCAGATTTCGCCGCCCTCACGTCACTCCCGAGCGCCGCGCTGGCGCCGCGCTGGCGCCCGTCACTCCCCCGGAGCGCGGCCCCAATGCACGAGGGGGCACACCCAATCCTGGCGGCCCTGAAAGCGGGGCTCAAGCACAAGTTCCCCCGCGTGTTGATCAGAGGGTTTTGACCGCGTTGCGCTGGTGCCGCGACGAGCGGGCGGCAAGCGACCGGTGCAAAAACGCGAAGCTGCATCGCAGCTGAGGAACCCAGGTTTTGCGCCCCGGTCCGCGTCGCGTCGCCCCGCGGAGTCGGCGCGTTGGGTTGACTGGCCTCAGGCGGCGCGGGGGCTGAAGGATGGGGGCGGTGCAGGAGGGGCGTTGCTTTGCGGCGGCGCCAGGGTTGGGTGGTGGATCCTTTTTGGAGCTGAGGCCGTTTGAGGGGGAGGGCCTGTGGGTGGAGTACCCCTCGGACGAGGAGGCCGCCTTCGAGGAGGCGTTCAACGACTTCGAGCGCATGTGGGCGGATAAGTGGCACGGTGAGGAACGCGAGCGGCGAACGGACAGGACGGATCGCCGAGGCGTCCATGCATGGAAAATTTTGACTCTGCTGTGAATCCTGGGACGCGCCGCCGCCCGCGAACTGGAGCGATTTTCTGTTTTTTCTGTCGATGGGTTGGGCGAATGCCGCGCAAAGTGAGTCGGCTGGATCGGGAAGGGGCAGATCTGAGTTGGCGTGATCTCTGCTGGAGTGCCTCGGGCTGGCGTGCCAGTGCGTGTGATCATTCTCCCTTGGCCCCGGGGTTGCCCGCGCGTCGCGCGGCGACGCGGCTCGTTGGCAGGGCGCACGGGCTGCCCGGTTGAAACGGCGGCCTTGAGCGGCGCAGGTCATCTAGGCGTCCACATTGCACCTCTGCTTTCTGTGTCGCGTTGCGTTGCCAGCGCCGCATGTGCCCCTCTTCGCTTGGCCGCAGGCACGGTCTCATACTTTCGGCTACACATGGCACGCGCTCGTTTGAATTCGGGTGCAGCGTGGGTTGCAGAGTCGGCGGGGTCTCAGTCTGACGCGCGGCCGCGATGGGCTGCGCGAGCGGCCGCCGATCAAACGTCTTTCGCGTTGTCCGTGGGCAGTGGCGACGCTCACTCCAGCAACACCAACACCCGCGCACGTGCTTGATCTCTGCAAGCGCGCATTGCCCTGTCACCGCCAGGCCACCCGTATGGCGAGCGGTGAGGATCGCCAACTACTTTGGATCGCCCTTCCACCTCTCTCCCCCACCCGCCAGCTTCACTGCTGCCAGTTCTTTTGCCAACGCTCCCAAACTACCGCCAGAATCTGCGCGCAGCTGTTGCTGACCCGATTCACAGCCTGGCTCGTGCCTGACGGGCTCCCCTCCTTGCGTCCGCCCCGCAGGAAAGGACGACCCGTCCGAGGCGTCCCCGCTGGCCGTGGCCGCGGCGCACAGCTCCATCGTGGAGGTGCTGCTCAGGAGCCTGACCAGCCTGAGCAGCCGCCTGAAGGGCAGCCCACCCCAGCCCCCTGGCGACCTAATGGATGTGGCGCCCTCGAGCCTGCAGACAAGCAGCTCTTGGGACGACTATGAGCGAAGGGGGCTGTTCAGCTCGGCCAGCTGGAGGCGGATGTTCAGCGCCAAGCCGTCGGGCCCTAAGTGCACGAAGTCGGGGCCGTGCGAGCTGTTTGCTGATTGGCCAATCCCGCCATACCCAGAGGACTACGATTGGGACGACTGAACCAATAGGGAGGGGGTGGTGAACGACAACAGAGTCTGGCAGTGGGGCGAATGACACAGTGTCTTTGGGGGCACAGGGGGGGGCACGTATATTTTTTTCGGGGTTGCAGTGGGGGTTTCTTTTCGAATTGGTTTCTGGGGAATAAAGAACTCAAACGACTGAATGGGTGGTCGAGGTCCCTGTTCCCGACAGTAGGGTCGACACGGCGTGAGAGAATTGTCTGGTGCTGTTTGATGTGCATGTGTCTGTTGGGAAATTTTGGTGGGATGTTTGTGTGGGATGGGGTGTGTATAGCTGCAAACTTGGAGCACTATATATCAGGCTTTGCGATCGGTGTTTATTTTGTAAGTTGTAGAGTAGGAGCTGTTGCAACCAGGAACAGGTGCCAAGGTGTCGATGATCTAGCAGCGGTTGCTGGTGGCTTGTGTAGTTTGAAGGGGATGTGTGTGCTTGCATGTGTGTGTATGTACATGTGTGTGTGTGTGTGTGTGTGTGTGCCTGTTTGGGGGGGAGGGGGATCTATTTGTAGTTGACGAGTGTAGGGGTGGGGTGGGGGCCAATCTGGTCGAGTCTGGAACCAAGCTGCATTGAATGTAGGGGAGAGTTTGGAAACGAATTTCATTGTGGTCATTTCATTGGCTTTCTGTGCATGGGGGGCAACTCAGGGTGAGTCTCTGCCAATCTTATATGGCATTTTGGAGGCTACACCGACAAGTGTGAACCACAGGCCAATTTGATTTGCACAGTCAGTGTGGATTCGTATTGATGAAGTGTGATTGATGACAGGTCTTGTATGCACGAGTGACACTGGGTGTAAAATTCACTCTTTACGCTGTAAATTTCCCTTGACAAAAAAGCAAGGACGCAAATCACTTTTGGATGCGTCTGCTTGGGGTGTCTAAGGCAAGGCCAGGAAATGTTTTGGCTTCAGCTTGCTTTAACGAAAATGCTTGTAGCTGTAAATGTGTTGACTGTGTGGTTGGCTGCAGTTGCGCATTGGGGGCAGTGAGGGAATCGGGGGCAATGCAGTGGGCCTCTCAGGAACGCTATCACCATAGGTCAGATCAGGAGGCTTGGCGTCTGGCCAAGAAGCCAAGGACCCCCTTGAGAAGTCGAAGGAGCACTTCCCTTGCCTGTTTGATGTTCCTCTGTGCGAGAGCTTGGTCACCTGGTCTAGACGTCTAGATAAGATAAAGATGAACGTCTGGATAAAATGTTACAGATATAGATGGACGTCTTGGGTAAGATCCATATGATCTTACCCAAGGCCTGCAGTTGCACTGATATACCAGCATTATTTCGCCCTTTTTGATTATAAATATGCCAAGTTTATGGAACCAGAATACCTGGAAATTGCAAGCAATTTCAAAATATCTAAAAACCGTGTACTTGCATTGCAACATGCAATAGAAGTTCACGGTTATCAGGAAGTGACACCTGTTCATGCTTCCTCATACTGGCCACCGTTTCACCGAGTGGGTCACTCGTGACCAATATCGATGATGGGATCTACAATAGATGCGCTGTACACTGTGGGGGAAATCCCTGACACAGCCAATAGTGGCTTCAAGCCACTATTGTATGGAAACATGAAAGAAAAAACTGAGGTCTTTTAGATTTTGTCTACAATGCTCTGATGTGGCTCCTAATCAGCAGACCTCAGGAGCTCGAAGATGGAAAAGGGGGTTAAGTGCATTTGATCTCAAATGTTTGTGGATCCGTTTCGCCATTTGACAAATGGAGCCACAAGTGCTTTGGACCCAACGAGCATGCTAATTTGCAAGTGCTGGCAAGGAAGTTGTTGAATTCGATGACTGGCTTATGGTTGACATATGGCGACTGGGTGCCACAACACCATAGACCAGTCAGGATTGACATGGACAACCGCACAGGGTAGCTAGAAAAGCGAGAAGAGCACGCTGATAGACCTGCCTCGATCTAAGATAGCGGCAAGGCATGTAGAAGACGTCATGATAAAAACAGAATGGAAGACATGTCTCCAAGGGCAGCTATAAGCCTAACGCGTTGGCCAAATCAATTGAGTCAATTTGTCAGACAAATAGGATATGGAGTCCGAAATATGATTGGTATCACTCACACTATGAAATTGGGCACTTATGGTACCGTCAGATTTGTGAAAACCCGAGAATTGGAAGAAACGCCGCCAAATTTGACCGAAATATAGCATGTTTTGCTGCAGAAATGGCGGAGCGTCGGGCCATATTTAAGGATAAAAACTGGCCGGGAATATGGGCATCACCCTGCGAAAATTCTGTCAGGATATGCAGCTAATTAATAGGAGTTCAATGGAAAAAACGGGGACTAATTTGGATAAAAATTGGGGAAGTTATGGGCCAGAATAGTGTTGTGTCGCTGGTCACCTGATCAGTGAATTATATGTCATTTTGGGGACGCCATTGGCTGGCAATTGATGGTGAGAAGTTCCCAGTTCTTTGGCAGTATGAACAGTGGATGTGCCGTTGTTGGATGGGACAAACGGTGTGAAGGGGTGCACAGGCTGTCAAAGAGCACTGCTTGATTTTTCCTGGGCTATGCTGTCCAAAGTGTGGGGTGTATTAGGAGAACTATTGAGCGGGATGGTGTCCAGAAATGGCACATTTTCATGCCAGCTAGGGGCACTGATGTGGCATATTTGGGCGCATCTTAGAATCAAAAGTTGGCAGCAGTTCAACAAGCTGTCGGCCTCAAAAGGTCCATGGTCCTGTCAGACCTGGGATTCGAAAAATTCTCAATGAACTTGAAAACCGTGTTGGGGACATGTATACTTTCACAGGACAATGCGTCCCCATCATGGTAATTGGAATTGGATGAAGGGGCAGCCAGTGAAATGCAATTTAGACATATACCGTATTTACCTGGTATTAGTAGGCATGTATTGGACCCCCAAAATGAGGTGTGGATACTAATAGTGGGTCATGAATGCTAACGCGGTTTGGACCCCTGATTCAAAAAGAAAAGACAAAGAAAATTTTTGACAAATAGGTCATGAAATGCCCAAAAATTGGGCGAAAATGGTGATGCTAGTGCAGAAGGTTGTCAGCCTCTTCACAGGAGCTGGCGGCCTTGACTTGGGGCTGCACCAGGGGGTGGCGATTGGCGATTGGGGCCGTCAGGGGTTCGCTGCACTGCTCGAGGCGCACTTGCCTCTGCAATGCAAAGAACAAGGCCTGACATGGGTCTCAACTCGCTGGGGCACCACGTCGTGACGATGCTTGACACACGGCGTTTTCCCTTGCTGATGGCGGCTGGGAAGGCTGCGGGATCTGTGATTGGGTCTGTGGCCTGGCAGCCAGTGAGATGTGTTTTGCCCCACCTTCGCAGCATTTTACGGGCAGTTTTGCAAGGCGGGGCCTCACAACAGCAGCTGCCTTGACCAATGCCGTCGCCTGCCCGTTCCTGGCGCCAGACCTTGGGGGCCTTTGGCAGGTGCCAGGCCAGAACCTACTCTGGCCAGCCGGGGAGCAGGTTGGCTCAATCCATGAACCAGGGCGGTTTTGATTTCTTGACCACTTCTATGTTCGGGACTTGTGGCATTGGTCGCTGCCTTGCGATCCTGCACTGAGAACGCCAACGGCGGCCAGTCGACCATGCGGCCTTTCACGGGCACCCTTCCAAATTCTCACTCGAGAACATCCACCCCAACCCGACCGTCCCCGTCGATGTGCGAATCGCAGGGAATGCGGTCCAAACTGGGCAACGAGGTCCAACACCAGCCCCCGACTTCCCTTGCCACCATCCTCGCCTTCTGTCACTTCTGCTCTGTTGAGGTTTGGGGTTGGATACTAACACCGGGTCATGGATACTAACGTGGGTTCGACCCCCAAAGAGGGGGGTGAATACTAATAAAGGATGCCTACTAATACCGGGTAAATACGGTATTTACACATGAATTGAAAGGTACAATCAGCACTATTGTGCTGCCATACATCGGATATTTTCCTGGTCATGTGTGACCTGGGAATCTACTGAATGCCTTTGTACGAAGCGTTGGAGGCCTGGGCCATAGGGCCCACAAGGGGTGGTACTTCCGCCCAGCCCAGTCAAGAGCAACATGGCGTTTGGAGCGTTCTGTCAATGCAGCGCCAGCCATGAGGTCCGTGCCAAGCTCGCAGAATACTCGGACCAACCTCACCGAAAAATGGATGCATGCATCCATCCATGCGCAGAGGCGGGAGGCTCCTCTTCGGCCCCATCATGACTTCAATTGAAGTCTTATTGCAATAGGAGGCATGACCGGGAGGTTGGCCAAAGGAGAAACAATGCGCTTTGAGAGCTGCTATGGCGGGCGACATTGGCGCCCCGTTTCTATGGACTCCAGCGAATGGGGATGGGCTTCCTAAGCCTTGGATAGAGATGGCATGGCCTGCTAGCACCAAGTGGCGCCTCACCCGCATTGGGGGGCCGCTACGCCTCCACCTTCATGTTTTTTTGTTGCCATGGCACCCACCCAGAGGTGGGCGTTCGCCTTCGAGCAGGCCATTCATGAACGGGTTAAGGATGATTCTTTTTTGTGGACGAGGGAGCGGGAGACGCATGGCCCACGGTGGAGGCTGACGGGGACCATGTCCCGCCCCACCCGTCTATTTGGCTCCGGGAAAGGGGATTGAAACCCCCTACTAAAGGTGAAGGGGGCCTACCTCCATACTTCTTTTGCCACTCTATTTATCCCCATTGGGAAGCACTCATTATTTCCCACTCGATGACTACATCGAGGTGTCTTGGATGTCCTCCGCATTGAGCCTCCATACGGAGAGAGAAGAAACGAGGCCGCAAATTGAAGCTGCCAAGAAGGAGTGGCTTGCGGGGTGGATTCTCCATTAATGTGATTGGGTGATAACCCGGATGAAGCGGGGGTGGTCGGAGCTGAAGGACTGTGCATGGGAGGAGGGCTCTTGGTGGTGGAGGCAGCCCGGCGATGGCAACCAATTATGGCACCAATGGGTGCCGGGCATGCATGCAAGATGAGCGCTGCCACCTTT